TCTCTTTGGTTTTGAGACTTTAGTCTTTGCAACTTCAGGGATCTTATCTATGCACAACCAGCTTGTAACACTCCAAAGAGAAAGAAAAACTTGAAATTGCATCATATGACCCCTTTAAGTCCAAAGTTAATGTGATGAGAGTAATGAACACGATATGCTTGTTTTATTGGCACAAATATGGTCCCTATCTCTAAATATGCACTTTTTATTTATACATCACTTCATATTTTATGATTTACTGGTATAGCAAATTATTTTGTCAACCTCACTTTAACCTTGACCTAAACTATAAAATCTCTCTGAATAGAAATATGCTGATGAATATAATATTTAATGTGTCAATCTGTGTTCAGTTGTTTTAGGAGGGCAGTGTCGTCCATCTGTAAGCGAACTAATTCAGAAAACAGGTGAGAGAATCAAACTAAGAGAAAGAAAGACTTGAACTGAGTTTGACTGAATCACATTTAAGCGCTGAAACAGACGGATGATGTTTGAACATACAGACGAGACAGAAGCTCTAAGAATCTTCATATTTAAATTAATCTTCAGCTGTATGAATCTTCATGTTTAATTGACGGTGTGTTCCAAACGGGATATATCGCCTTCCGAAGGGCACTTTGGAGTGAAAACAATCATGGCCGACATATTGAAGGGTCGTTCCAAACCGAAGTGCTCAAAACTGGCCACTTCAAAGGGCCCTTCGGAATGAAGGATTTGGAACGGTACAACTGATGGACACTTCGGGCTCCCATGATCCTTTGTGCAGATTCTTTGCATAATGATGGTGCCTCCGTGTGGGCACATGATGATGACGCAGAAGGGCACTTCAAGAAACAGTTGTTTGGTCCCCTACACCCTTCAACCCTTCGAAGCTCTCACTCCGGAGGGTAAACCCTTTGAAGGGATTAGGGCATACGGAAGAGCCCTTCCGAATGGAACGCAGGGTAAATCTTCAGCTGTATGAATCTTCATGTTTAATTGAATCTTCAGATGTATGAATCTTCATGTTTAAATGAATTCTCTCAGGGATCCTGAATCTGGTGTCCAGATGATCCTCGTTCACTGAATAAATCTGAATCTGAGCAGCTCAACGGCTCAATGTTTAGAGGATGATAATCATCTGACATATTGAACCAACATCTCAGGTCATTTTGCTTACCGCATACTCAATGAGTAGGTACTTCATTTCAAAAAGTACTTACTAACGAGCGCTAAAAGAGTACGTACTGAACAGCCAAATCTCGTTAAGTATGAACGCGATCTGCCATGTTGACGTAATCTTCTTCTTCTTTTATTTTTTATGGCGGTTTACAATCATGATTTATCAGATGTATACCGCCACCTATCGTACCGCAGTACGTAGCATGGATCGTGGTCCCATAATGTTGACGTTAACATGTGACCTCCGACATCATAACAAGTTCAATAATTACTTGAGGTGACAGGTGTGCACTACCACCTGATCACAACAGTAAATTGCTTACCCTGCCTAGTGCGGTTTTCCTTAGCGTTTGGAATGTTTGGAATGGTGTTACAAAGGAGACGTCGGGCAGCTGCTCGCAGATCTCGCCTTAGGAGAAGACTGTTGATTTTATACTTAAAAAATGTAAGTGTCACCACTTATAAATTAAGATTACCCCAGAATGAATTGCATTGTTAGCTCACCCCAACACTTTCGCACAATGATAATATTTGCAGACCCATGCTTAATTGTACTACATATTACTGAAAATTTTATAATTTAATTAAAAAAGCCTAATTAATTGTTTTCATATGACATGCATGAAAACACATAAGACAAATGGAGCCAATGTGAACACATCAATTTTCAGTCAAGCAATGAATTAATGCATGAAGTAATGAAATAATTGCTTTATTTACTAACATTAGGAAACAATAAAAATGAGTCAATTAATTTAATTAACCATCACATTAACTGTATACATATACATGTCAACAACACATGAAACAAATCTTTATTTGAATTTAATGTTCTAATAAACTCGCACATATTTACAGGCAGTGAACCCCGCATCCTACTGTCATGTCAACACAGCTGTGCCGATTCTGCGATTTTATTTGGACCAAGCAGCTGACCACCGTGCCGACCTTCGCCTGTCTTTGCCATCCATCAGGTTCCTCATTGCAGCAGTCAGATTGGAATCTGACCATGTGAGCAAGTCAGTTATAGGAATTTTGAGGAGGGTGATTTATTTTCCAACCGGTGATGACCTGGAGGCAGTGGGAGCAGGATTTGCACAGCTAGCTGGATCACCAGCTTTCAGTCGAGCAGTCGGTGCAATAGATGGTTGTCATATCCGAATTAAACCTCCAGCAAATAACTCCCAATGCTACCACAACAGGAAACTGTTTCATTCCATCCAACGCCAGGCCATCACTGATCACCAGGGGAAATTCCTTCATGTCTTTGTGGGATATCTGGGGTCTGTGCACGATTCTAGGGTGCTGAGGAACAGCCCTGTATATGCCGGCAGCCTATATCCACCTGCAGGAAAGTGCATCCTCGGGGATGGTGGCTATCCTTGCCTGAGAGCACCCATCTGCCTCATCACCCCATACAGAGAGCCTGTGCAGAACCCTGTGCAGGCTCGTTTCAACAGCAAGCACTCCCGCGCACGAAGCATAGTAGAGCGAGCCTTTGGCATGATGAAAACACGCTGGCGCTCCCTTTTCTTCAAGGCCTTGGAGGTGAGCCCTGTCTTCGTGCCTGAGGTTGTTGCATGCTGTGCTGTGCTTCACAATCTCTCGCTCTTCTCAATGGGGACATCGTTGAGCCAGTGGAGGAAGACCATGACGACGGCCTCCCTGAACCCCACAACCTTGAACCAAGAGGGGGAGAACATGTGCGGGACAATCTGGCTGCTGCTGTGTCCGCTCCAAACATTCGTGTGCCTGCTCTCCATGAGCATGACTACCTGTGAAAGATTAAAACAGGTTAAGTCACTTTGGATATAAATGTCTACTAAATACCCAGGCCATCACTGATCACCAGGGGAAATTCCTTGATGTCTTTGTGGGATATCCGGGGTCTGTGCACGATTCTAGGGTGCTGAGGAACAGCCCTGTATATGCCGGCAGCCTATATCCACCTGCAGGAAAGTGCATCCTCGGGGATGGTGGCTATCCTTGCCTGAGAGCACCCATCTGCCTCATCACCCCATACAGAGAGCCTGTGCAGAACCCTGTGCAGGCTCGTTTTAACAGCAAGCACTCCCACGCACGAAGCATAGTAGAGTGAGCCTTTGGCATGGTGAAAACACGCTGGCGCTCCCTTTTCTTCAAGGCCTTGGAGGTGAGCCCTGTCTTCGTGCCTGAGGTTGTTGCATGCTGTGCTGTGCTTCACAATCTCTCGCTCTTCTCAATGGGGACATCGTTGAGCCAGTGGAGGAAGACCATGACGACGGCCTCCCTGAACCCCACAACCTTGAACCAAGAGGGGGAGAGCATGTGCGGGACAATCTGGCTGCTGCTGTGTCCGCTCCAAACATTCGTGTGCCTGCTCTCCATGAGCATGACTACCTGTGAAAGATTAAAACAGGTTAAGTCACTTTGGATAAAAATGTCTACTAAATACATACATAAAAATAAATGTGATTTGTATTTCTAAGTAAATCCTTTTTTTGAAAGTGTCTCTGTCATCTTAGTTTATTTCTTCAGGGTACTACTACAGGCTTATATAAATGTATATACATTTCATACAATTTTTATTTGAGAGATTAGTTCACTCAAACATATAAATTCAGTCATTATCTACCCACTTTTATGTCACTGAATCCCTCTGTTTTTGTTTATTACACTATTTGTTGATGCTTTTGAGGCTTCTAAATGTCAGGCTTTATTGGCCAATATTGTATGACCAGAAACCAACAGAATATACTTGACCAAAATCAGCTTTTATGTTCAGAAATAAAACTAGAGGGATGGAACACCATGAAGTGAAGTAAATAATGAGTTTATAGTGTATGTTTGGGTGA